CCAAATAAGAGTTGCTGGCCTCTGGATGGTGCCTGAAATGATGAGGAATAACAAAGGGCAACATGAGGGCTACACCTAGGGCTGGGTATTGTATTGTGTTTCAAAGCAATAATCAGCAAAGTGGTATGGCTCTAGTATAAGAGCAGACACTGAGGAACAGAACAGAAAAGAAAGCCCAAACACAGACCCATGACTACAGGGAATGGAGTTTGTGATGACTTCCCAAACTGGGGGATGGTGTAGGATAGATGGTTTAATAAATGTTTCTAAGATAATTAAGGGAAAAATAAAATGATTGAATGAACAATTAGTCCATTTTCCCACTAACCCCTCCCTGCCCAGTTTGAAATATCAGCATCATCATATAAGCTAAAATAAATTCCAGATCCATTAAAAAGATAAATAATAATATCTAATATGGATCTTGGGTTTATTGTATTCCAGGTCCTATGCTAAGAACTTAACATGGTTAATAGATTTAATTCTCACAACCACCTTTGAGGTAGATACTATTATTACTATCACAGTATGTATGAGGAAATGGAGGTACAGAAAGTTTAGATGCCTGGCTAAAAATCACACAGATGGCTTGGGGTGAGGCTGGGTTTGTCACAGACAGTCTGACTCCAACACATGTGAACACATCTCATTTTCAAGTGGGAAAGGACTTTCTAAGCACAAAACCAAAGACAGTAACCACAGAAGAAAAGGCTAATCTATTTGACTATATAAAAACATCACAAGTATCACAAAACACTGTGAACAAATAGAAAAAGAAAATATTTGCTATATATGTAGGGCTGATGGAAGGTTAATATCCTTTTAAATAAAGAGCTATGGTAAATCAATAAGAAAAAAAGATGAACACCCTATTAGGATGAAGGACACCAGACCCCCCCAAAGCACAAATAGTCAATGAACAGTTAAGTAATCAAAGAAGGTAAATTTCAACAATGTGGTAATTTTTTTTCTTACCTGTTATGTTGAGAAAAGGATTTAAAAATGACAATACCCACCCAGGGTTAGATTGAGTAGAGGGAGCATAAAACAGCACAACCTTTGGAAGAACAGTTTGCAAAGGGGGTCAGAAACCTTAAAAATGCACACACCCTTTGCCATAAGAACTCTATTTTCAGGAATCCAAGGGACTAATCAGGGATGATTATGGGGGAAAACGAGAAACAACCCAAATGTCCAGTGATGGGCATTTGGTCGAATCAATCATGGTTCATGCCAATGTGAGGTCAGTTTTGACATCCGTGAAAGACCATATGTTGAAACAATTTTTAGTGATCTACAAAAATGCTCCTATTAATTGAATAAAGCAGGAACAAAGCCAATAAATAGTGTGATTCTAATTTAGTTAAAAAATACTAACAGCTAAAACTTTGTGAGCACTTGCTAAGCCTGCAGAGACGAACTCATCATCCCAGCCTTGAACAGCCTGTTCTGTTCCTGGACATGGATTCTGGACACACACACACACACACACACACACACACACACACACACACACAAGGTCCTGGGATTAGGACCACACAGTTAAACCACAGCTGACAATGGCATCAAGTTCCCTCCAGGAGGGTCTCCTTTTATACAAGAACAAGTTCAGTTAAGTCCACAACCTGACCCGACAGCTCATGGTCCTCCTTTGATCGGAGCACACAAAATTGATGATCATTCTTATAAAATGTAAATGTCCTCATCAGCATTACTCAACACACTGTTATTGAGCTCCAACTGTGTATAAAGTTCTGTGCCGTATGCTGGGTGGGAAGGCAAGACAAGAGAGCAGGTGAGATGGTGGGAGAAAGGCTGAGGAAAGGAATCAGATGGAGTGTGGTCAAGACAGAGGACACAGACAGGAAAAATGGTCATAGCAGATCAAGACAGAAGGACGGAAATTCTGAGTCAAGGCAACAGACAGAGAAAGAGCGGGTCAGATAAACATGGAATAAGTGAGACAGGGTGAATAGAGACAGAAGGATGGGCGATATTGAGAGAGAAGAGACGAAGAGAAGTGAGAGATGTAATTGAAATTTCCAGTTATACCTGGACAGCAATTCAAGTTGTTTAAAGATCTGAAATTTATAAAGATTGGTAGTTGACATATTTAAAAAAATCCTACCCATCTACATATCAATTTAATTATCTTTGCCTCCACCCAAGCATAGATTAAGTACTTTACCTATCAGTCTTCTGGTATTTATTATTATTATTGTAAAAAATACCTTACCTGACCAGGACCACAGTAGCCGCATGTGTTTGGACTATATGGAGGACTTCTGAACCTCCAGTGCCTACCTCATTGTCATCTCTTCCACTGGACCC